TCTAGTGAGTTGAAGGATAGATGCGCAAGGCAAAAGAATTGCTCATGATGGAGTCACCAGAGTCCGCATTCGCATAGAAGACAAGAGAGGAAAACCTTTTGAGCTAGTGGAAGAGTTTGTCCTGGGCAATGTGCAACACCCTATCCTATGCGCAGGCAAACTGCTGAGACGTGGCTGGAGTCTGCAAAGATCAGATGATGGGCTAGAACTTCGACATGATGAGAAAGGGATTGAAGTTCCAGTGAACACAGAAAGAAACTCTCTGCAGCTTGAAGCCAGAACCTGTGTGGTGAGCGAGGCTACATTGACATCGAGCCCTACTACCACGAGCATGACAGCAAGAGTGATGGCCTTGACAGGCTATTTGAGCAAGTGTGTGCAGGACTTGGAGTTAGCTCCCGGCTGACACAGATTGCCAAACGAAGTGGTGGTCTACAGTGATCCAGTCGCTGTCAGATTGGCAGACCCCAAGGACAACATTGAGAAGGCCTACAAGTCAAGAATGACACTTGTGAAGGAGAAGAATGGCCAATGGACGCAGTTGGAGAAGGAGGATGACATCACCGAGACAAAGCCGCACACCTTCAGAAAGATTGGCTTGAATGATGAACCACATCGCACTCTGAGCTTCTTCGCCCCTACGAGATTTCGAGACCATTGGGAGCCAGACTCAGAAGTTCCAATTTCTCCTTTTCCTGAGCCTGAGGATGCAACCAAGGCAACAGCATGGTCTGATGATGATGGTGAAGAGATTGAAGAGATGGAGCAGCAGGTAGAGCACCACGACATCGAGAAGAGGGTGATTGCTCAGCGCCCACATGAAGTCGAGCTTGATGAAACGCTCTTCTCAGAAAAGACTTCAGTGAAAGACCTGCAGATTGCATGCAAAGAGCGAAACTTGGCACACACTGAAAGCAAGAAACGATTTCTTGAAAGGCTGACTGCATTCAAGATCAACCTGGAGACTCAGATGCAGCTGTCAATTGCAAACCGCATCTACAAGGAGCAGGAAAGACTTCCAGTTACCATTGGACAACCGAAGTTGCCGAGCTTAGCAGATCAGGAACGACACTTCATCGCCCACATGCCCTACGCTGGATGGCGCCAGGCTTGCGTGGCAAGCCGTGCGAAAGAGGATAAGCGCCCAGCACGAGAGGAGCAGGAGGACCAGGGCAAGAATGTCATTCAAATGGACTTCTGCTACACGTATACTGGTGAAGATCAACGAGGTGATGAACCATCCATGGGAAAAGTCCAAGAGAGACAAGACCAGTATGGGACAGTCCTGATCTTGACGAGCTCTGAGACAAAAGCAGTGCACGCAGTGCCAGTGCCTTCCAAGGGCACTGCAAGCCTCAAGACGGTCACGGAGGAGGTCACTCGCTTCGCACTGGAGAACTCTGCCTATGACCAGTACATCTTCCAGGCTGACCCCGAGAGAGCGACTCGTCAGATTTTGAGGTCTGTCCAACAGGTCCGAAGCATCATGGGATTGAAGACAGAGATCCGCATGACTGGCACTGGACAACACCAATCCAATGGACAGGTTGAGAGAGCAGTCCAAACAGTGAGGCGGCTAGCAAATTGTCTCAGGACATTTGCTGAGGATCGTGCAAGGTTGAGAATCCTTGGATCATTCCACCTCTATCCATGGAGCTTCAGGTATGCTGCTTTCCTGATCAACCGCTTCCGTGTCTTGGAGAAGTGCAACAAGACGAGCTTTGAACTGGCGACAGGGCATGGATACCATGGGAAGTTGGCGTTGTTTGGAGAGAGCGTCCTGTTCAAGAAGATTGTCAAGTTCAAAGGAAACAACATCTTTGAACGTGGAGCTTGGGCAGGAAAACATCCATGGAATGATACACACGTGATCCTGACGCCAGAAGGGGCATTCGAATCCAGGACGATCAGGTGATTGGCAGTTGGGGAGAACTTCATCGCGACTGACATTGTGATCTCCAAGGGGCTTCCATGGAGCTACTCTCCTCAAGACATTTTGATGCGGCATGCTGGACAGATTCAGCGCACACGACAGCCTACGCTTGAGGCAGAAGCAGAAGAGAGTGAAATGAAGGAGATTGCCACAGAGGTTGCAGCTGGGATGGTTGGACCGACGCCGGGACTGAAGACACCAGTTCCAAACACACCTGGCATGGTGGCGCCCAAGACACCAAATGTTGGCTCTATGGCACCTGCGACTCCCGGACCAACATCACCGTCTGGTGAGACAGGATCTATGGCTTTGAAGAGACCTTTGGAGACAGCAGAAGAAAGTGAGCCCAAGAGATTGGATGACACATCTTCTCCGCGCAAGACGCATGAGAAAAGAGAGCCAGAGGTTGATGTGGAGGAGTTGGAGAGTGAGCAACGAGAGCGCGGACATGATGAACCAATGAGGACACTGGAGGCGTCACCACGAGGTTCACCCAGCTCTCGCTTGTATCCACCCACGTATGCTGGTGTCAACGCAGTGAACGTGGAGATTCATGGAGATGAGGAAATTGATTTGGAGTTGATACCAAATGAGGTGGAAGAGGACTTCTTTGCATATGGTGGAGAAGAAGACGAAGATCCTCCTGAAGTGACTGAAGAGCGCCTAGCTGAGTTGGACGCCCAAGCACGAGAGAAGGAAATTCAGCGGATGATTGAGATGCCCGCCATGATCGAGAGTGACGAGGAGGAAGTGACTAGAAGTGAGGGCTGCATCATTTCGACCAAAGAGGTGTACACTTGCGTGGAAACATCGCCTCGAGATGGGAGGATGGTTTCGTCGTGCGACATTGGTGGCACGGCAGTTCAGAAACTCCATAGACCTCGAACAAACGTTCGCTCCCACGTCGATGATGCTGGTACCCAAACTTTTGACTCACTTGATTGTGAACGTCTTTCCGACATCAAAGATGCATTTTTGATGGCACCACAACCGACTGATGAGGTGGCCTTTGTGAGAGTGAATGACCGCATCTTTCGACTCCTACGATGCTTGCCAGGCCAACGCACAGCGGCATCACAGTGGTTCCAACTGTTTGCCAGGACATGCTTGCAGTTTGGCATGGTGCAGGACATGATGCAACCCACGCTGATGATGTTGGCAAAAGAACTGTATGTTACGGTGCATGTGGATGACGTGTTCATGGTTGGCACTGAGGAAAAGTTGCTGGAGTTTGTCGCCTACTTGAAGAAGGAGATGGACTGGAATGTCGAGGAAAAGGGACCATTCCAAGCTGGCGACAAGTTCCACTACTTGAAGAGGCAGTTTGATTGGTGGAGGAAGAGCTGCACCATCAGGTGTGACCACAAGCAGTATGACAGCTTGGAGAAAGACGTGACCAACCTCCATGCACGATTCTACAGGAAGACTCCCATGAGCAATGACTTCGGCAAGAAAGATGAATCCCCGGAGTTGGATGGGAGTGACATCACGAAGTTCAGGAGCATTGTGGGGAAGTTGATGTACATCTCAGGTGAACGGCCAGATGCTCAACACGCAATTCAGTGTCTTGCCAGGCACATGGCAAAGCCGACCCAGATGGCCATGAAGAACGCAGAACATGTGGTGTCCTACTTGTTTGGCGCGGCTGGCTATGGAGTGATGATGGATTCGAGAAAGAGAGGCCAGTCAGTGATGGACGTGAGAGAAGAGGAAGAGGCCATTGAGCATTCACAACATCTGCTTGAGGTGATCACAGACGCCGACTATGCAGGCAACAAGAATGATCGAAAGTCAACAAGTTCATTTCAGATCTTCATGGACGGCAACCTGATCGAATCTAAGGTTCGTGCTCAGAAATCCATTGCATTGTCATCTGGAGAATCAGAGTTTGTGGCTATGGTGGCTGGAAGCTCTGAAGGACTACTTGTACGTCACCTTTGGAACAAGATGACAGGCGTGCAGTGCACGATGAAGGTGCGCTCAGACAGTTCTGCGGCACGGAGGCAAGGGATTGGCCGTGTCCGAAATTTGGACTCATCCCTGCTATGGATCCAACAGAAGGAGAAGGAAAAGGTGCTGACGGTAGCTCCTATCCCAACAGACTTGAACTGCGCCGACATTGGGACCAAGAACTTGGCAAAGAAAAGGTTGCTGGGGTTGCTCTTCATGCTGAAGATGGTGAATATGGTCAATGACCGTGTGGGTGAAGAAGAGTTTGAAGACCTGGAACGCAACTACCCGGTCAAGAGCAGCCAGAGGCAGATCGGGAACAAGAAGGCGCTTCGTGTCTGCTTGCTACTCCTCTTGGCGAACTTGGAGAAGGCCTCAGGAGCGACCATGGAGTCCTACACAGAGGATAGCCATTTTGGCTGGTCATGGACGGTCTTTTGTGTATGCGCATTCTTTGGGGTCTTGAGCATTTTTGCTTGGCTTCGGGACTTCATTTTTGTGTTTGTGAAGGGTGGCATCACCCACTTGCTTGACTTCAAGAAGGTCACGATCCAGAATGATGAGAGCACAGTCCGAGTGGTCCTGGAGAAGAAGGTGGACATGCAGGCAGAACATGTGAAGCAAGGCATGTACATAGAAGAACTTGAAGAGAAGATCAGCATGCTCAAAGAGCAGGCTGAAGAGCATTTCCAAATGTTTCAACTTGAAACCAGACATGCCCAGAAACTCATGAGGCAGATGGCGAATTTGAAGAAAGCGCCTACAGGCCAGGTGATCCATTTTGCACCTGGATGCCCGCACTACGCGAAGGCAAGCGCGATTGAACTTTGCAAGAAGTGCATGGTTGAGGGGGGGCGTGATAGAATATCCAGGGCAGTCAAGCACATGAGAATTCAACCACGCATTTCCGCAATTTGCCGCTATCGGCTGGAGACCCCATTTTGGAGGAAAGATAGAGCGCCCATATAGTTATATATACAAAGTGACAAGGCATTGAAAGGAACCAGACGGGACTTGACATGCGCTAGTTGAGGAACAACCTAATAGCGATAGTCTCCAACCCAAGAGCGAAAAGTTCAAGTTCAAATCCTTGATTGTCCCATCCAGACTTTGGCAGGCCTATGGTGCAGTGACTACTGGCGCGATGCCAGTGACTGCGGGCGCGATACCAGTGACTGCTGGCACGATACGACCGACGGTGCCTTTGGAGCTGGCTGAGCCCGGGGTGTTATCTAGCGAGCTGTGTAGGTGTCATGTGTGCTCAAAACAGGTGTGAAACTCATTACAATTACAAACAGAGATAAGAATGATAAGAAACGAAGGACATGCGCGACGGAGGGAAAACGGATGAAAAACAGCGAGGAATCAAGATTGATTTAGAGGGGTAATGCGTGGGCTGTATGCCTCAATGCATTTCCATGGCCAGGCAGTGCAAACTGCAGCAATGGTCCAGGAGCCAAACACTCAGGCGGTGTAAAGCTGTTTGGCTATTTGTTTATGAAGATAGCCTGATTTCCGATGTGCAATACCCATTCATTCCTCATTCAATGTTCGTGGCACACGCAGGCACTCCAGAAAGGTTCCTGTAGCGAACTATCAAGTATCCCCAGCATCCAACATTCCTTCAGTCTGGACTTCCCTTTTCGGCAGCAGGCTCACCCAAGCATATGTATATATAATATTGAGAGTGGTACGCTGTGGAGGCCCCATCTTTAACGATGTTTTTGGACATCTTTAGTATATTCATATGCTGTTGAATCTTTGGTGCGCAAGGCCGGAAGCTAAGTATCGCTTCAGTTGAGCCTCTCGATCAAGTGCGGTCACTAGCCTACTACTTTCTGAATAGGATCTTTCAGAAACATGAGCCTATATAGACTGTCACGCAGCCAATGGTTGCACTTGCAGAGTCCATGGAGATTACAGGAGTAGAGTGCTTTGTTACTGAATCCTGTTCACACACCACGCCAAGGCACCCTCCAAGGGCACCCTCCAAGGCATTCCTACTCCAGAACTTGCTTTGCAGTCGCCTTCAGGGTGTTTGCGCGTTGAATTTCATTGGACCATCACCAACTCTTTGCTGAACAGGTCATGGGCCGGAGGAGCGCCTTGAAGATGCTGGAACAGTTTGAAGCTGAGCAGGCGGGAGGCTCAGGCCGTGTGGTGGGCTTCCGACTTACAACTTGTTGTGCAGCAAGCCTGAGAGATGGAACTTGCAAAGACCATTGTGTCTGCTTATTACAGGCCAGATGAAACGGGACCAGTTGGCGTCAGATTGCTGCACCGGGCGACCCGTGAACAATTATACAACCTTGGTTGCAAAGCTGGTCGGGTTCTTTTCAGGCAGGGCTAGAAAGTACCGTGTAAGAACTATGTAGCCAACGCAATGTTTTGAACCAAGTCTCAAGCCTCTGGGCTACAGTCTAGGCACGCAATCGTCATGGCTGCACTTTGCAAAGTTGACGCTACATGGCTACATAAACGATTGAATTTTGGGGAGGCACTCCACTCTCCAATACCAAAGACCAGCAACATGTACGCGCTTATTCCTTTTGACTAAAACGGCTTCAATATAGATCTCTTGCCCTGGTGAAGGTGAGCTTGCTGAATGCCTGGCAAGAGTTCTTGCGTGCTTTGGCCGAAACCCAAACACACCAGCTTTTGCTTCCTATTCTCAGGGTTGCAGTGATGGCTACCAACATGCCCAGCCCTTGTCCAAAGATAACTGATGAAATGCGAGTCTTGCAGCCAAGACAGATATTGACAGACGCAAATCTGGATAGGTGGGGGCTTTGGCAAGATGCCTTTCCAAGGTTGCAAGCCTTCCAGCCTATCAAACGCACAGGGTTTTGACAGGTCAGTTCGTGGTCTTTTGACAAAGGGCAAGCAAGGGAGTGAAGCAAAGGAGCGCACCGTGGTTGAAGTGAAAGACATGTTTTGGGAAAGATTTTGCGCAAGCTTGTATTTTGGTATTATATCCCGCATCTCAAAGGAAAGCTCCAAAGCTGAGTCAGAGCCTGCGGCGGCGTCATAGAATGCAGGGAAGCCTACGCTCAAAATTATGAATGCCACGGGCGTCAGGTGGATATGTGGGGTCTGCGCACATGTGAAAGACGATGGATTGTCATCGGCGTCACAGCGCTTGCTAGGCACAACCCTGAAGACTATCATCCGTGTGACGCCAGAGGACATTAAGTCCAACCTCAGAACCCTCAAGGATGCAGCCTTCCAAAACTACTGCCAAAGGATAGTGCCCTGCCAGCAGCTCTTTGCAGATGTGAGCGGTGCCTTTGAAGCAGCCAGAGCAGCTGTGGTCGCAGCGTTCTTTGATATGCGTACCAGGAGCTGAACAAGTAAAGTCGTGTTCAGCAACTACTGTGCGTTCAGCAACTGCGGTTCAGCGTGCGGTTCAGCAACTCCCTGCGTTCAGCAACTGCGGGTCAGAAACTGCGGTTCAGCAACTGGTTTTGTCGGTTTCAGGAACGGGTTTTGTCGGTTTCAGAAATTGGTTCAGCAACTGTGTTCGTCGGTTTCAGCAATGGGTTTTGTCGGTTTCAGCAACTGTCCTTGTCGGTTTTTGTAATGGATATTGAGGGCGGGGGGGAGGGCGGGGCCGGGGATAATGACGTCCGTTGCGCATGCTACGCAGACATAGCTGTTGGTTCCCAGTTTCCGAAACCTACGCTCCCGGCGGTTGCCGAAGCCCACCTCCCCAGTTTCCAAAACCCACATTCCCAGTTGCCCAGCCACAGTTTCCGAACATAATTGGCGAGTTGCCGAAACCCGCCTTTCCAGTTTCTGAAACCCACGTTTACTGTAAGTTTCTGAGCCAGGAACCACAGTTTCCGAAACCCACGCTTTAGTTTCCGAAACCAACCTTTTAGTTTCCAAACACCACGCTGGCCGCCGAACTGTGATCAAGATACGGTACTATCATTTTCCAAGACTAGCCATCTCAGCCTCAAAGCCAAACAGCGTACTTTTCAAAAAATGGATGTCATTGAGCAGTGCGGATGGGAGGTGATACGTGACCTACATCTATTAGGTCCCGTTGGGCTCTAATTAAGGTGTCCTTTCGCGCCGGACGCGCAGACGTACTGAATGGATTTGGCTGCCACGGTCTTAACTGGGTCCGCTGTCATTCTGTGCAATGGCTGCAAGGGCTAGCTTTCAGCCTTCTGGGGGGCGCCGAAAAAATTAGCTTGTGATGACTTTCTAAAATTGTAGGAGTTGTTCCCCAAACAGTTCACTGTTAGGGGTTCTCAATTCTTCATTTGTCTCCCAGGTCTGTCACTGCTGGTGTCCGCCCTTTTCCATTGGCCGCGCAGCGCTTCTATTCATTTGTCTCCCAGGTCTGTCATTGCTGGTGTCCGCCCTATTCTGTTGTCCATGTAGCATTTCTATTCATTTGTTTCCAAGATGCAGGTGTCCACCCTCTCCGTTGGCCATGCAGCATTTCTATACATTTGTCTCCCAGGTCTGTCGCTGCTGGTGTCTGCCCTTTTCCGTTGGCCCAGGTTTGTCACTGCTGGTGTCCGCCCTTTTCTGCTGGCGATGCAAAATTTCTATTCATTCTGCAAACAGTTTACTGTTAGGTGTTGTCAATTCTTTCGATGCGTACGCCCTTCCGTCGCTGCTCGTGTCCGCCCTTTTCTGCTGGCTATGCAGCATTTCAATTCATTTGTCTCGCGTGTGATTTGTTTACTTTTGTTTCCCAGGTGTTCGGTGCTTCCCCAAACATTTGTACTTCCCCAAACAGGTTACTGTTAGGGGTTCTCAAGGCTTTCTGAGAGTGTCCGCCTTGCTGCGGGACAGCGTGTCCGCCTTCTCCCTTCTGTCTCCCTTTGTCTCCGGGTCTTGTCCCTTCTTGTTGGTCACTGTGTCCGCCTTGTTTCCCTTCTGTTTCCTATTGTCTGTGTTTGTGGAACGAGCGAAAAGTTGGGATTGCGTGCGCGCACTCGGACTCGATCGACGTGGTTGCATGTGTGTTCGCTGTCGCGTGTAACTTTCGCAATGACCGTCTGCGTCAGCGAGAGGGCGTTGCGCTCTCTGCTAAGGTCCGTGTCCGGCGCGTTCGCAGGTGCCTCCTCGCGATACGCTGCCAAGGTGGCGCCGTCCAGTGCTTGTGACGTCTTGGACACGCACATGTTGGAACAGAACGAGAGGAGGCCGTCCTTCCTTCTTGTTGGTCACTGTGTCCGTCTTGTCTCCCTTCTGTCTCCTTTGTCTCCTTTCTTGTCTCCCTTCTTGTTGGTCATTGTGTCCGTCTTGTCTGCCGTCTTTTACTTTTGTCTCGCTTCTGTTTCCTTTTGTCTCCCTTCTTGTCTCCCTCCTCCTTGTTGATCATTGTGTCCGTCTTGTCTCCCTTCTGTTGTCTTTTGCTTCCCTTTTTGTCTCCCTTCTTGTTGGTCATTGTGTCCGCTTCGTCCCTTCTGTCTCCCTTTGTCTCCGGTCTTGTCTCCCTTCTTGTCCGCCTTGTCTCCCTTCTATTTCCTTTTGTTTCCCTTCTTGTTTCCCTTTTTGTTGGTCATTGTGTCGGTCTTGTTTTCCCTTCTGTTTCGTTTTGTCCCTTCTTGTTGTTGAACATCAACAAATGCTTCGTTGTTGTCCTACCTGTTTGGGGTCTACAGTGGTGTACTGTAATTTTTCCCGAATGCGTAGCGAAGGGTTCTCGTTTAACTCTGGGGGTCTGGGGGTAGAGCCTTGTTCGCGACCCGTTGTTTCTATGTTCGCAACCGTTCGCAACCGTTCGCAGCCGCTAAGGCGCTGCCATTGGGGGAAGCTTTTGGAGAGGGTTTCGGATGAAAACGTGACGTGTCAGATTCGTGTGAAATAGCGAGGGACATGTAAGATGTTGAAGTGTGGAGGATGATTTCACTGCGCAGGCGCAGCGTTTTGTGAGATCTGCAGTTTTCTGCGCAGTTCCATTGGGATTAGCGTGTGGAGAGTCGTGTTTTTTGGGGGTGTTGGATGTGGCCGCGCCATTGCGTTTCAGGGTGTGGCATCGAAGCTCTGTTTTCGTGACAAGTCTCAGCTGAAATGGCGATTTTGGTGGATGGGGGTGTGCTCAGAACGGGTCGAAATCATTCCAAACGTGTGGTGCGGTGTAAATTTTGTTGAAGCTCACATGACATGATATTGTCGCTTTTCGTGGCAGACGCAGTACTTTGCGCGGGTTTTGAGGTATGGAAGTGCGATTTTCGTGGCAGGCGCAGGGAGTCGTGAGGTTGCGAGGTGTGACGGAGGCGACATTTCGTGGCAGGAGCAGTACTTTGCGCGCGTCAGACGTGTGGACGCGGAAAGATTCGTGGCAGGCGCAGGGAATTGAGGTTGTGAGTTGTGGTAGAGGTGAATGTCACTGTGACATTGGGATTGGCGTGTGAGCGGGTGTCGTTTGGAGGGGCTGGAATCGCGAAACTGCTTGGCAGGGCTGCGTGATGTGTGTTTCCGCTTGACTTTTGGAGGAAGTCTCGTACGAAACGCTCGTTTTGCAGACTTTGACATGTGAGTTTTGAGGAAGTCTCGTACGAAACGCTCGTTTTGGAGACTTGACGTGTGACTTTTGGAGTGTCCTACAAGAGTGTCCTACAGGAGTATCCCACAAGAGTTCCCTACAAGAGTGTCCCACAAGAGTGTCCCACAAGAGTGTGCCACAAGACTGTCCCACAAGAGTGTCCCACAAGAGTGTCCCGCAACAATGTCCCACAAGAGTGTCTGGCGAGAGTGTCCCTTAAGAGTGTCCTACAAGAGCATCCCACAAGAGTTTCCTACAAGAGTGTTCCACAAGAGTGTCCCACAAGAGTGTCCCACAAGAGTGTCCTACAAGAGTGTCCCACAAGAGTGTCCTACAAGAGTGTCCCACAAGAGTGTCCCATAAGAGTGTCCCACAAGAGTGTCCTACAAGAGTGTCCCACAAGAGTGTCCTACAAGAGTGTCCTACAAGAGTGTCCCACAAGAGTGTCCCACAACACTCCTGCAAGAGTGACCCACAAGAGTGTCCTACAAGAGTGTCTCACAAGAGTGTCCCACAAGAATGTCCGACAAGAGTGTCCCATAAGAGTGACCCACGAGAGTGTCCTATAGGAGTGTCCCACAAGAAGTGTCCTACAAGAGTGTCGTTTGAGAGTGTCCTGCAAGAGTGTCCCACAAGAGAGTGTCCATAAGAGTGACCTGCAAGAGTGTCTTTTGAGAGTGTCCCACAAGAGTGTCCTACAAAAGTGCCCCGTAAGAGTGACTCACAAGAGTGTCCTACAAGAGTGTCCCACAAGTCGTACAAGAGTGTCCCAAAACAGTGCTCCGCAAGAGCTTCCTACAAGAGTGACCCACAAGAGTGTCCTACAAGAGTGTCCCACAAGAGTGTCCTACAAGAGTGTCCCACAAGAGTGTCCCACAAGGGTGTCCTGGAAGAGTGCTCCACAAGAGCGTCCTACAAGAGTGACCCACAAGAGTTTCCTACAAGAGTGTCCCACAAGAGTGTCCCACAAGAGTGTCCTACAAGAGTGTCTCACAAGAGTGTCCCACAAGAATGTCCGACAAGAGTGTTGCATAAGAGTGACCCGCGAGAGTGTCCTATAGGAGTGTCCCACAAATGTCCTACAAGAGTGTCGTGTAAGAGTGTCCTGCAAGAGTGTCCCACAAGAGAGTGTCCCATAAGAGTGACCTGCAAGAGTGTCTTTTGAGAGTGTCCCACAAGAGTGTCCTACAAAAGTGCCCCGTAAGAGTGACTCACAAGAGTGTCCTACAAGAGTGTCCCACAAGTCGTACAAGAGTGTCCCAAAACAGTGCTCCGCAAGAGCTTCCCACAAGAGTGACCTACAAGAGTGTCCTACAAGAGTGTCCCACAAGAGTGTCCTACAAGAGTGTCCCACAAGAGTGTCCCACAAGAGTGTCCTGCAAGAGTGCTCCACAAGAGTGTCCTACAAGAGTGACCCACAAGAGTTTCCTACAAGAGTGTCCCACAAGAGTGTCCCACAAGAGTGTCCCAGAAGAGTGTCCCACAAGAGTGTCCTACAAGAGTGTCATTTGGGCATTGGAACGTGTTTGCATTCGGGCTCGTGGGTTCCATCTGGTTTTTTGCTTCCCCCCAAGATCAATGGAAACCAGCTCCAAGGCTTAGAGGCCCATATTTCGCATCCCTTTACATTGAGCTGTGGGATCTGAAGCTTTCAAACCTATTTTGAGGCACTGTCCTGCTGGCTATCCCTCATGGCATAGAATCAAGTAAGAAGTGTTAGATCAAATGACTTGCTGTAACCAATATACATTTTCTGTCGAGCTGATATTCATTGACCTTTTCAAAACACCGTAAAAATGGGGCCTCCACAACGTACCTTTTTGAATATACTCTGTGCTGAAGGTTTTGTATGGACCCCTATTCCCTCCACCTCTCCACCGCCATGCGGCTAGGAGTCAGAAAAGGCCCGACATTCTCCTAGATGCGAGCAGATAAAGTCGAGCACTGTTTGACCCTGCGCACAGCGTACCAGCGAACATTGTCAACAGACCTTGGGTTCTCACGATTCTTATTTGTGTCCACCCTTTCTTCTGACTGAAGTTGAAGAGTCTCGTCTTGGTATCTACATTGCAACGGCCAGCTGAGCACTGTAGAGTGCTGTAAGGGTCAGTTCCGCGAAAATGCTGCAGTCATACCTGTTCTACAAAACATTTAACAGTGGCAAATATGCAGATGGACAAACAAGCACGCAAACAAACAAACCAAACCAAGGCAAGGTTAGCCTTGGCTCGGATGAGTTTCGCTTAGTTTTTGTTTGTTCGTTCTTTTTTCTTGGAATCCTTTGCTGCATTTTTGTTTCTTGTGACTTCGTCACTTCGTGTTTTTGGTCGGCTTTGATTCGTTCTCCATTCCAATTATTGAACATTTGTATTGAATCGTGCAAACGAATCGAGGAGGCTGTGATTTTTGCCTTGCCTCGTGCCTTTGTGTTTATCGTGGACCACACTTTCAGACATGTCTTACAGCCGCTTTTGCGTTTAGAGTGTAGGGTGTGCAAAGATTAAGCTTTTCATTTCGACTTGAACCATGTTGTTCATCCAAACCTCACAGTGAACTTATCGAAAAGGGAACCAATCCGCGAAGTGACTGTCATGGTCCCCAGCAGGTGGTCCTTTTTGGAGAGGCTCGAAACCAAACAGGAGGAGACCCAGGCAGACAAAGTCTGTTTATTGGTTGCGCAGTGGAGGTTCTGGGAGCTAGTGGCCTATAGCGGGCAAAGCTTTCCAGACCAGGGCAAAGAAGGAGGAGCAGATTGGAGCACGAGGAGCTACTATCCAAAGCCCCGGAGGATTGAGGCAATGGCTGAAGAAAGCTTGCGGCTCATTTCAACCGCCTTGGAGAGGCTTCAGGTGACACAGAGTGCACAGGCCTGGTCCCGGCATTTGAAAGCGCCGGACGTGTTCAAGCCTGAGTCACGTGATCTTGAACTCAAAGATTGCTCAATGCAGACTATGCCCTCGACGACATGTCAGAAGAGATGCAAGGCATGGCGGTCAGGTTGTACAGCTTGCTCACATCCTATACGAGGCAGAGGCCGCTAAAATTGGTCTGCCACGTGAAGCAGGAGAACGGGGTTGTGGCATGGCAAGTTTTGCTCAAAGAAATGCAACCCGCAACACCGGTCAGGAGTCTAGCCCTACTGTCCCGTGTGCAGTTCGCAGAAGGCAAGACGCTCAGCGAGCAACTTCCTCAGTACGAGGCTATCGTGGCCGAGTATGAGAGAATCTCAGGACGAGAATACAGTGAAGACGCCAAAGTGGATTCCATACTTCAAGCTTGCCCCAACTACATGAAGCAGCATTTGCAGCTCTGGGTTGATGATTCAACGACCTATGAGTCTTTGAAGAACAAGATACACCACCTTGAGGCTTTGACTACAAGGTGGGAGGCATCGAACAGCTTGGCCCTTCCCACAAGAGCCAGTGGAGACGACCCTATGCCGATGGAGGTCGACTACGTGGGCAAGGAGAAGGGCAAGAAAGGTGGAAAGAAAGGAAAGGATGCGAAAGGGAAGAGCAAGAGCAAGGATAAAGGAAAGGGCAAGCCAGAAGGTAAAGGAAGCTGGAAAGGACAAGAGAAAGGAAAGACCATGTGGGAGAAGGGTCCATGGAGAAAGCCAGAAAAGGGAAAGAGCGAGAAAGGAGGAAAAGGCGCAGCAAGAGCGGTGTATGCCACGTTTGTGGCAAGCCAGGTCATTATGCCAAAGAATGTTGGAAGAGAGTTCAACAGATTGAGGAACATCCAAATCCAGGTGGAGCAGCGAGTTCATCAACAGGACAAGCCGGTGGTGGAGCTGCATCACAGACCACATCAGTGAAGATGGTTCGCATTGCAACGCCGCCTGATGCTCCACGCACTGAGGTCTTTGACCTAACTACGCCACGGACTGCTGCAGACTGTGAATGGCATCCATGGAGAGTACAAATGGTGAGACTGGCTGATGACTTTGAGGAATCAGAGCAGCTGGTTGAGCACGAGGCCGAGGTGATGGAGAAAGAGGTGTTCTATGATTGCCTAGAACACTCAGTCTGGGCACCCGAGGAAGTCCCCATCATTGCACTGGACTTGCAACCGATTGAGGCTGAGGAGATCGCCTTCCACATGATCCAAATGGTCAGTGTGGGAGATTTAGACGAGGAAGCATGCTTTGTGACGCTCGACAGTGGAGCGGACGTGTCAGTGTTGCCAGTCAACTATGGCAATGTGGGAGAATGGAGGCCAGGTGCAGAGGAGCTGAAGATGGTAGATGCTCAGGGGACAAGGATAGCGCACCAAGGCTTGACACGAGCTAAGGTGAGAGTGAAAGATGTGAATGGCAAGGAGGTCGAGATCATTGAAGAGTTCGTTCTTGGGAACGTGCAACACCCCATCATGTGCGCTGGCAGACTGCTTCGAAAAGGATGGAGCATCCAGTCAAAGGAGGATGGTTTGCAGCTCTGTCATGCTGATCGGGACATTACCATTCCCGTCAGCAATGAGCGACACTCTTTGCAGTTCGAGGCAAGGATTTATGGAGTGGAGCAGAGAAGCAGCCAGGAGACAGTAGAGAAAAGGGTGATGGTGCTTCGAGGCTATCTCAGCCGCTACGTGGAGGAGTTGGAGTTTGTCCCTGGTTGGCATAGGTTGGAAGAGAAAAGTGCATTTTTCAAGCAGATTCCGAGAGAGCAACTCGCCAAATCCTGAGGTCTGTTCAGCAAGTGAGGAAGGTGATGGGACTACAGACCGAAATTCGTCTCACAGGAGCAGGACAACACGCTTCAAATGGATTGGTGGAAAGAGCTGTCCAGACAGTGAGGAGGCTTGCAAATTGCTTGAGGTCATTTGCAGAGGAACGAGCGCGGCTATCCATCTTGATCAATCGATATCGTGTGCTGGAAGGCGTTGGGCGAACAAGTTATGAGCTAGCCACAGGGCATGAGTACAGAGGAAAGCTCGTGCTTTTCGGTGAGGTGGTCATGTATAAAAGGATGATCAAGCACAAAGGGTCAAAGGTGTTTGAGCAGGGCATTTGGTGTGGCAAGCACTCTTTCAATGATTGCCACATTGTATTGACTCCAGAAGGAGCATGTGAAGCAAGAACAATCCGCAGATTGGCTCCAGAACAAGCCTTTGATGGCCCAGCTCTCATCACCTGCAGAGGACTACCATGGGCATACTCACCACAAGGAATTCTCATGAAGCACGGAGGCCAAGCTCAAAAGTATCGACAGCCAACACTGGAAGCAGAGATTCAGCCGGAAGAGCTTGACGACATTGCCCAAACAGTGGCTGCAGGATTGGTGACACCAGCACCAGGTCTACATGTTGGTCAAGGTCAACAAGGGACTGGAGTCGCAGCACCAACGACACCGGCATTACCAAATCCATCAACGAAGAGACAACAGGAGGAGATTGAAGGCGAGAGGCTTCTGAAGAGGCAGGACACCACCGAGTCACCAAGGAAGTCAGCAGAGAAGAGAGAAGCTGAGGAAGCAGAAGAAGAGGCAGAGAAGAGGAAAAAGATGGAGGAGAGCAGTGAAGGAAAGCTTGGAGATGCTGAAGTGCACGTGGACGAGCAGAAGGATGCAGTGGGATCAACAAGACCAGCTGAGCATGAAGCTGAGGGCACGCCTAGCGGAAAGATTGCAAGGCTGTATCCGCCTCACTATGCAGGCATCCAAAGTGTCGAAGTTCATGGTGACGAAGAGCTGGGATTGGAGCACATTCCAGAAGAGATGAATGAAGAAATGCAGTACAGTTATGGAGGTGAAGAAGATGGTGACCCACCAGAAGTCACGCAAGAAGAGTTGGACACCTTGGACAAAGAAGCAACCAGAGTTGAGATCGAAAGAATGCTGAAGATTCCTCCGGCCATGGAGGAGTCAACAAGTGAGGAAGTGAAGGCATGTTCAGGGTACACTATTTCAACAAGGCTGGTGTACACATGGAAGCACAGATTGGAGCAGGGAGGATGGTTTCGTCGAGCGAGATTAGTCGCAAGACAGTTCAAAGGAAGTGTTGATGCCGAGCAGACATTTGCTCCTACATCGCTCATGATCATACCAAAGATGATGATTCACGTGCTTCTGAACGTGTGCGCAGGGTTTGTGGCCATGACCCTAGACATCAAAGACGCCTTCCTCATGGCTGACCAACCAGTTGAAGAGAAGGCATTTATCAAGATTGGCGAGAAGGTGTTCCGACTTTTGAGGTGCCTCCCAGGACAGAGAACAGCTGCATCACAATGGTTTCAATTGTTCTCACAAGCATTCAAGGAGTTCAAACTGGAGCAAGACATGATGCAGCCTACGTTGTTCCTGAGACAAGGAAACATGTACCTGACGGTGCGTGTGGATGATGTCTTCATGGTGGGAACGCCTCAGATCCTTCAGGAATTTGTGATGTTCTTGAAGAACGTGAAGAAGTGGAAAGTAGAGGCGAAGGGGCCGTTCACTGCAGGAGAAAAGTTCCTGTATCTCAAGAGGCAGTTCAAGATTACAGAAGATCACTGCGACATCAGATGTGACAGAAAGCAGTATTATGGGCTTGAGAAGGAACTGGATTTATTCTGCAGAGCATATCGGAAGACGCCCCTTGACCAGAACTTCACAAGGAAGGATGATTCACCACTCCTGGAGGCAGATGAGGTGACAAAGTTCAGGAGCATTGTTGGAAGACTGATGTATATGGCAAGCGAGAGGCCAGATGTTTGGCAAAGAAAATGTCAGCGCCTACAAAACAGGCTCTGAAGAACGCATGGCACCTATGTTCATACCTCCAAGGAACCATAGACTATGGTGTGAGATTGTCCAGGAGGGAGAAAGGAAGATCAGTACTGGACACCAGAGAAGATGAAGATATCAACAGCGGTCCTGCACATCTGGTGGAAGTCCTGACAGATGCAGATTACGCAGGAAACAGAGATGACAGAAAGAGCGCCACATCGTTCCAAGTGTACATTGACGGGAACCTCATCGAGAGCAGAGTCAGAACACAGAAAGCCATCGCATTATCCTCAGGAGAAAGTGAATTTGTAGCGGTGGTGGCAGGGTGCTCGGATGGCATGCTGATCAAGCATTTGCTCAACAAGATGACAGGAGGAAATTGCCTGATGAAGGTCAGAACAGACAGTTCAGCTGCCAGATCCATGGTACAACGTCAAGGCACCGGACGTGTGAGGCATCTGGACGCATCGCTGCTATGGGTTCAGCAGAAGGAGAGCGAGAGAGCTTTCAACATAGCAGCAATTCCGTCAGAGTTGAACAGTGCAGATATTGGCACGAAAAGCTTGACAAGGAAGAAACTGCTAGGTCTACTCTACATGATGAAGTTTGTGGACGCGGTCGGTGATAGAGTTGGCACTGAGGAGTACAAGGACCTCGAATTGTAAGGGCTCCGCCCGGGTGCCGCCGACCGCTTTTCATCTCGAGGGTTTGGCGGTTGAACCTTGACAACTTCCTGGGATTCAACAGCGAGACTTGGATGGGCTTCACACCAATGCTGGCATTCAACCAGCTGCCGAGAAGAGGGCAAGGCTGCGGTGAGGCTCTGGGGAGCGTTTGAAGCCGAGCCAAAATGCCTAACGTTGCCTTCGGAAGCCCATAAGAAGAGAGGAGGCAGGCTTCGGACAGGCCACAGAGAGGCCGCAAGAGGCCTGCCGGCTGCCGAGAGGCTTTTGAAGCCGGTCCAAAATGCCTAACGTCGCTTTCGGAAGCCCATAAGAAGAGAAGAGGCAGGCCTGCCAGCTGCCGAGAAGAGGGCAAGGCTGCGGTGAGGCTCTGGGGAGCGTTTGAAGCCGAGCCAAAATGCCTAACGTTGCCTTCGGAAGCCCATAAGAAGAGAAGAGGCAGGCCTGCCAGCTGCCGAGAAGAGGGCAAGGCTGCGGTGAGGCTCTGGGGAGCGTTTGAAGCCGAGCCAAAATGCCTAACGTTGCCTTCGGAAGCCCATAAGAAGAGAGGAGGCAGGCTTCGGAAAGGCGACAGAGAGGCGGCAAGAGGCCTGCCGGCTGCCGAGAGGCTTTTGAAGCGGGTCCAAAATGCCTAACGTTGCCTTCGGAAGCCCATAAGAAGAGAGGAGGCAGGCTTCGGACAGGCCACAGAGAGGCCGCAACAGGCCGGCCAGCTGGTGAGGCCTCGGACAGGCCTTTGGAAGTGCTTGGAAGGGCTCTGCTAGGCTTGGCCAACTGCTGCATCCTGCGCCTTTGGAAGTGCTTGAAGGGTTCTGCTAGGCTTGTCCAACTGCTTCACCCTGCGGTGTCCCAGGCGCCTCCCCGCCTAGGCTTTGGCTATAGGCCGGGGTCGGCGGATACCAGTACCAAATCAAGAAAGGAACCATGAAGATGATGAAATCAAAAGACATCCGCATCGGCCTACTGTTACTGATGGCAAGCATGAATTCAGTGGCTGGAAGTCGAGTTGAAGCTGAAGAAAAGACCAGCACCGAGTACGGATGGTGGGCACTAGTCTTCTGTGCCGTGATTGGGGCCTTGAGCACATTGAAGTGGCTTCGGATCTTCATGATTGAAGGTCTCTACGGCGTACTGGGCCGGATGATCAAAGATGAGGCCTCAGCGACGCAAGAGACCATGAGCCAGAAATGTGATCAACAAACTCAAGCTACTGAGTGGATCGATTCCTACATCTGGCAACAGTATGAGGAGGAAAAGGAAGAAATGGAAGAAGAGATGCACAACATGCAAGCTGCATTGCTGGAAGCAGAAGAAATGATAGGTCATTTGCAAGAAGACGTCAGCGAGACGACAACCTCACCATGTTTCTGAAAAGTCAGCAGCAGCAAATCAAGTTGGAGAAGAAGATGTGCAATCTTCGCAAAGCACCAAGTGGGAGTGTCATCCATTTCGATGGCAGGTGCACCCATTGGCAAAAGGCCAAAAGCGCTACATTTTGTAGCATATGTCAAGATGAAGGGGCCGTGTTTGAATTTGAAGAGTTTACACATGATCCACAATAGGCCAATCATCTTGACATGAACCGCCGCACATAGGCCCGAGTTTGAAAAGCGTTTCGCGCTACTTTGCAAGCAACATATTTGGCTGGTGATAGAATGAGACCATATTCGGTCTTTTTGTCACTTCCTGCTTGCGGATCGATCTTATGCACCTGGCAGGTTCAGATTGAAGAGCAGATCGTAGAAGCCGGGCTCCAAGCAACACGACGAAGCGTTCTGCAGAGTCTGACGTGCAATCATGCCCTTTGGTAGTTTCGATGTCCTAAAAGACTGAAACCTTCAACGCCAAACAAGCTGGAACAAGGCAGCAAAACTTCTGCAACCCGACAGAACCGAACCTGCACTTGGACCGTTTCCATTTTGTAAAATGATTCTGGAAAAGTGAGAAGAGCTTGGCTGAACTTTTCCCTGGACTTTTTGGCTCAGAACACTCACAAGTCTCGCGGGGAAACCCTCCATCGATATGATTCCCTTAGAGCCGCAACCCTTAGAATCCCTTGGAACTCCGGAAACTGCTTGGGAGAGACAGAACAGCCCTAAGCTTTCAGCTATCGGGAAGAGAAGATTTGGTTGAAGTATGTATAAATACTGTGTATATATATATGTATTCTTTTTTTGACAGCAAACCCTGTCTGCTTCGGTCTGCTGACTGTAGCCCTAGCTGCAGCGATCACTTGGAACCCTTCCTGCGACCCTGAGCTTTTCCATATCTATATATATGTATATATAGACAGAATATACTGCACTGTGAACTGTGAACCTCAATTTGATTGCACAGTGCAAAACGAAATCGAGCATTGGGGAGCGGGCGCCCTCATCGGTAGTCCACAGAGTCCGGGCCGAAGTCATCCGCCCAACCGCCCTCTGCCTTGATCTGGAAGTTTTGGAGGTTTTTTGTGCGTGTCTTCAGGAAGCGGAGCCTCCAAAGATCTCCAAAGGTCTCGCAAGTCGCTGTTGCACCTGAGACGTGCGAGCCAGGTCTCAAGACATCCTGCAGTCCGCTCCGGATTCGATGTTGATCCGAGCAACAGCCGTGTGGGCTTTGGACTAATTAATGCCCTCCAAAAGCCCTTGCCACAACCAGGCACTGCAATTGCCCGGAAGTGCTCAAGCAATGGCAGGACAAAAACCCTCCAAATCGAAGGCATATGTTCCTGCGCTTCTGTAGGTCCGTACCAGAGCGAATAGGGAACGGTAAAGCTTCATCATTCCCCATGCCACAGCTTGCTATCAGCCGCAGAAAGCGCGCGCGCCAAGTACCCAAGCTGTATTGTGCAATGCGCCAACACCAAAGAGCGAAAGAGTGGGACTCTTCTCCTCAAGGACAACTTTCTGTCACTGTTGTGGAAGATGCAATTCCTGTAGCGATGATACCCGTTTTAATTGTGTTATGCGACCACGACACGAATCTCAAATCACATCTCTTGTCTTTTTGCGGAATGCGACCACTCTTGATCGGTTTGTCGAGACGAATCTCTCCCTCTCTCTCTCTCTTTGCCTCTCTGTCTCTCTGTCTCTCTGTCTTTCTTTCTTTCTTTCTTTCCTTCCTTCCTTCCTTCCTTCCTTCTTTCTTTCTTTCTTTTTCCTGCATGCCGCCAATCCCGGCCTCCAGCTCTGAAACCATCTTCCGACACCTTGCCTTCTCTGATTTGAATCATCTCGACGGCTTGTGTTTGCCAGTTGTAAAAAGAAATCCTCTTGTCCTGATCAAGCTGTTGTCCATGCGAAGAAAACATGTGTATTCAGGTAAAAGAAAACACACGCAAGACCTGAGACCATTCCACTTCTTTGAGGGGTCAAAGTCTTAAAGGTGCCGACGATCCTATACCAAGAGAAAGTGGTCGAGGCTTGAAGCTCTGCTTGGGTGTCAATGGGTCGGTTATTCTTTCGACTTTTGCGGGTCATCTGCCAAAATGCGGATCATGAATGCACACAATTGCCAAGCCATTTCGAGTCGAAACAAGGGACATTCCGTGCAGGTGCCCAAGGTGCAAGAGACCATCCTATTGAAGCAGGTACCACGAGTGGAGGCCGGACTTATTTTCGAAAGGACAGCAGAAAACACAAAAGAATAACAATGCTCATAAGAAGGCTTTGTACATGCTAGTGCCCATGACTACGAGGAAGTTTTCTTGTTCAATGGACAAAACCTCTGGCTGACGGGCCTTGCGCATTTGCAAGTGACGTTGACTGATGGGGATTTCTACACTCCGAGCTCTTGCGTTGCTCAAGACGGGAAGCGCTAAAAGAGTTGTTAGCTATTAGCCATTGGCTTTGACATGCTTCTGGAATTTCTTACAGTCGACGAATTCGTGTATACAGTGCACATATATTTGTATTATTTGTGTTTGATATTTTGGCTATAAGTCTTGAGGAATTATTGTGATCACAATTTTGGATTTAAAGATTAAAGATTGGATACAGATGATTTTGGTGTAAGCTCTTTGGGGGTTGCAGGCTAGCAACTGTCAAGACAAACATGGTGTAGTCGAGAGATGGCAAGAACCTTTTTAATCTTGTGCTGTCGTTGCACATGTCCCGCTGGGTGCTGGCAGTGGTTTTGACTGCAGTGCCATGTTGGAGGCCAAGGGCATTTGTGCGGATGGTTGGGTGAACATGTATTTTTCTAGCTGTGCAATGCGTTTTTCCTAAGGCTCCATGCACCCAACGGTGTAAGAGCAAAAGGTCCTCCCGCATTGCACTTAAGTTATGCACAAAGAATGACGTGCGCACGAAGATCTAGAGCTCACAAAGACATGGAAATCATTGGGCTTGAGGGACACTTGTCACGAAAGCTAGCATGCTAGCTGAGTTCTTCTTTGCTTTAGCAATGTTGTGGTGGGAGGGGCTGCGTGCCTTAAAGATTGATATATCAAGCTAACCCCCCCCCCCCCCGCGGTTCAACTCCCAGCTGCGCCGTGTAGGGGGTTGGTTGAACGTGGTTGGTTGGGTGTAAACGGTGGCTTGGTGTGAAGGGTGCTGCTGCTGCCGCCGCTCTGCTGCTGTTTGCTGCTGCCGCTGGTTGCCGCTTTTGTAGCTGCTGCTTTGCTACTTGTTGCGGCTGACGACGCCGCGGCTACTGCTGCTTGCTGCTTGCTGCTGCTGCTTGCTGCTTGCTGCCGGTGGTGCTTGCTGCCGGTGGTGCTGCTGCTGCTGCGGCTTGATGCTGCGCTGCTGCTGCGTGGTGCTGCTGGCTGGCTGCTGGTTGGTGGTTGCTGCTGGCTGCTGGCTGCAGGCGGCTGCTGCTGCTGCTGCTGCTGCTGCTGGCTGCTGCTTGCTGCATAGGACTTGTACTTCACCGTTACAAGTTGTTTACCCCTATTTCTAACCTAATGCATGCATAAGCGGGTGGTAAATTTACCCCCCAGGCTTGCTATAACCATACACCGGCTATTTCCTCAAGACACTCTATTCTTGATACCTTTTACCAGTGCTTATCCTACACTACGGACGCCCTAGTGTATGCACAGTCCTTGTGATGCTTACCCCTCGTTCCGGCTCAAGGCATACATAAGCGGGTGGTAAATTTACCCCCCAGATTTGCCATAACCATAAGCCGGCTATTTCCTCAAGACACTCTACTCCTTATACCTTTTATCAGTGCTTATCCTACACTACGGACGCCCTAGTGTATGCACAGTCCTTGTGATGCCAGAAATGCCTACCCCTCTTTCCAGCACAAGGCATACATAAGCGGGGGGTAAATTTACCCCCCAGATTTGCAATAACCATACACCGGCTATTTCCTCAAGACACTCTATTCCATATACCTTTTACCCGTGCTTCTCCTACACTACGGACGCCCTAGTGTATGTACAGTCCGTATGATGTCAGAAATGCTTACCCCTCTTTCCGACTCAAGGCATACAAAAGCGGAGGGTAAATTTACCCCCCAGATTTGCCGATCACGCATCTTCGTGCCTGCCAACGAGTGCACCCGGGTTGTTCCAATGTACCCTTCCCAGTCAGCGATGTCACATTTACATTCTTTAGCGCAAAGTATGTACATAGCAACCTTCCTCCCAAAACATGTAATCCCTACATGCTTTGCCGACTATGTAACTAGTACATCCGGTGCGATTCGGCTAGCTTTCGACCTCTCCCCCTGGCCTCAAGTAGCCTGCAGTTACCCCTCGTGACAGATGGGCACTAGTGCAATGGAAATATACCTTAGCGTCTTCACAGAGCCAAACCCGACAGGCACATTGATCCGGTGTCCAATAGGATCCACCAGCTTGCGTCCTTTGTCGTCCGGGATGCAAGCCTCAACGTAAGACTCATTCAGGGGGTAGACTCAAGTGGAAGATACGAAATTGCTCAGGGCATCATTCCAGGTGCTTTGTTCAGCCGAGCACAGAGACTTCACCGCGGCTGAAATCACTGCGCCGTGCTGGTGGGCTCATCAACAAGCTGCGTCGGGCTCTTGGAGTTTGGGGATTTTGCTTTTTCACTCTTTGGAAAAGAAGGAAAGGCTTCTGAAAGAGGCCCTCAAAGCCTTTCCTTCTTTTCCAAAATTTCACTCTGCAGGTGCGAAAGAGGGCCGTCCAAAGCCAGAGCTCCATGATGTGAGCGACCTGGATCCCATCATGGACGTGCTGGAGGTTGACATTGAACATCAATTTTGCTTAGTTTTTTCTTTAAGCCCACGGGGGGAGGCCGCTGGAAGAGGTAGCTACTAGCTACTAGCTAGCTACTACATATGGAGCAGGATAGCTCACGCTTCCTTGAAGAAGCGCTCGCACTAATGATTTGGTTCCTAGATTTTTAGGTAAACTTATTTCGGTGTTTTGAATCCTGCCACATCCAAAGCTCCGAATGACTTGAGTCAGAGACAGCAGCAATCACAACAGCAAGAGCAACAAGAGGGTTATGAAGATGAACAAGACAAAAGAGAAGAAGAGCAAATAATGAACAAAAGCAACCCAAGAGAAAGCCAGAACAACACCTGGTAACTGCCGGGAACCTATTGCCCGGTATTTGGACGATTTTGTTGACCGTACTAGTAGGAAAGCTGGACCATGTGAACCAAACCGGTAGCTAGTCGGACTTAGACCACTCCTGCCAGTGCAGTTTGTGATGGCAAGGATTTTCATGCCTGTCATATCCACATCCAATCCAACTACCTGGTCAGGACAACTTTAACACCAAGAACACAACAAGAAGCCTGGTCACATCGATCGTCAAGACCTTTCTAAAAGTAAATTCGGCCAACCACGCCTGAAAGAGGAAAACAACATTAAAAGCACAATCTTTGCAAACGGGGCTTGTAGCTAGGATGTGGCCATGTGTGAAAGCAAGCCGTGTGAGAGCCCCACTTGCCCTTGGACATATTGGGCTGGGAGTTAAATACAGTAATGATATCATCGCAGTATGTAGAGTCTTTAATGGAAAACATCGATCTAGCATATTCCACCATAGAATTGTGCCTATATCACGCGACAAATGCCATCGAGCTGCAGGGAGCTGCTGGCAGTTGACTTGGTCTGCTTATCCTTCGCTCAGGTGGACCCTGCGCTTTTGAGCTCTGCGCTGCCACCGGGCTCAACAGCGCCCGCTTTGAAAGCTCGCTCTCACGCATTGCCCGGGGCCCCGACAGACCCGACCAATCAAAGGCTCAAAGCAATCCTCGCTGAGTTAAGCCTTGACGGCCTTAATTCTTAAGCAATTATTCCACTAAAGCCAACACAAAGCATTGCCAGGTTGGAAGCTCGGCCTGAACTGCTTAAGGATGTGTCCAGCGCTTCGGACTGCCCAGGGTGATGGATTTCCCTTTTCAAGCGTTTGGTTGCATCCATCTCAACGTGTGTCTGTGTGTGTGTGCCCCTTGTAATCACAGGGATTCTTTTGAATTGTTTTCTTTTACATGAGCAGGGGGCCCATGGACACTTGGATGGCATGGGCCAACGAAGACCCATCCAAGCTGTCGTGAAAACGTACCTTAAAGGTCCAATGCACTCTGCAGACATGAGCGATCGCCGTCACTTCGACCTGTTCGTCGTCTCGTGGCTTTGGAACTCTGGCCTTTAACTACAGGCGCTCAGGGCCCCTCACCTGGTTTTTTCAGGATTTGGGTTCGAAGTTTGTTCAAGGCTCACTGGAACCTGTCCCATTCTTAGGTGCACACACAGCGTATACATGCAAACGTCTTCCTAGGTGTTTCTAACGAGGTTCGGCTTCATCGGTTCTCGTCCCCTCCATTTCCCCCTTTTCATCCTTTCCCCTTTTACACACCTTTGTTTCCTCTTTTCTTTCATGTCCTCCTGTCTTCATGTCTGGTCATCTCATCCTTTTCTTCGTTTGCGCGCACATTGGTCCCGGCCTTAGTGTGTACGTGCACTTTTACTTGCAGTTTTAACACAGGCTTCAGGTCGCCCAGGTCTTTACAATGAGGTGGGCTTCATCGGGTGTCCCTGTGCACTTGGTTCCCCTTTCATCACAATCACACGCACCTTTGTCCCGTCTTGTCCTCCTGTCATGTCTTCATTCTTTTGTCTCTTGCGCGCGCGTGCACATTTGCCGTCACCTTAGATTTACGCCTCCCCTCGGGGAGGCGTGTGTGTGTGTGTCCACTCCTGTTTCCAAGGACACTACCCCAACTCTTTCTAACCTACCCTATGATTTTCCTGACCAATGTACAGCAGCAGGGGGTGGTAGCAAGGCAGAGAGTCTACCACCAACGAAGACGCTCTCTAAGCCTTGGTGATACTGGGACTGATCATCCCAGCGTACCTGCATAATTCAATTTTTAATCTTCAGTCATTCGATGTTTCAACAATTCTGTTCGACCGACCCAGCATTTTCCTTTCAGTCAAGTGCTAAGTATTCACCTAAAGGGCTAATGCACACCGCGAAGCAGCCTGAAAACGCGCTCCACGGAGCAACCTTCTCAAGTGTGTCTCCGCAGCTTCTTCCCACTGTGGTAAGCTGTGTGATTCCTACGGAGCGCCGTTACTGCAAGAACCTTTCCACTCCTCATCGCAGGGGTAAGCTTCCTGAAGTTTTTCTGAATTTTCTTCACTGAATTTCATTGCTCGAAATTAGCTTGAATCGTCTCACCCAGCACACGTGAAGTTTACTGCAGAGTTCACTGAATTTCCTTCTGAAATGCACTGCAGAGTCAAACTGTAACTGTTTCACCCGGGAATCCTTTCCTTTCAATTTTTCAAGTTCACTTTAATCTCAAGATTTTAATTGAAGTCAATTGCACACTCCTCCTCTTTGCAGCGACCTGTTATATAACCTACAGTTTCACTCATTCAAGTTCAAGGACTGCTTTGATACACCTCTATTTACACTTACACCGACCTTATTCGACTTGCCGAGCAGCCATGACGTATCCCTGGCCGTATTCACTACCAACACATCTACAGCAGCAACCACAGCCTTCACTACCAACACATCTACAGCAGCAACCACAGCCTTCACTACCAACACATCTACAGCAGCAACCACAGCCCACACAACCACACTGGTTTCCATACCCATCACATGCTCCACCGCAGCCATTTCCAACATTGCCACCAGTTCCACCACATCATCCATTCCCACATGGTTTTCCATTTTCCACACCACCTCCACTTCAAGCCCAATACACGCAGCCACCTCCAGTACAGGCACATTTTTCAGTACAACCTACCGCTCCTATTGACAGTCCGCAACAGCATCAACTTCATGCGACACAGCCAATCCAATCCTATGTCCACACACATCCCACATTGCCACTCCAACCTCAACCACAACAACCACATCAACCACATCCACCACACACGACAAGCCACTCACCACCCACACCATTACCACAACCACCTCCTCCAACAACTAATCCATCACACGCCACCCATACAGCAGTGACCGCTCCACCACAGCCTACCACACAGCCCACCGCACCGGCTCCGCCACCACCACCACCACACACTCCAGCAACCCCCACCGAACCGGTTTCAGCGTCCATCAACACACCTGCTCAGCCTCCACCACCACTCAACGTGCCACGCACAACCAAACCAACACCATCTATAGCACCCACCCTAAGCACCACAAGAGGTATTTGGCGCGACCCAGATCGCTCACCACCTCGCACACCTGAACACCACCGCTACATCCAGATCCAGGAGCCGCACTCGGTCAATACGTACCACACGTTCTCCACTGCCACGAAGACGAAGCTCAGCCACACAGTCAGTGGCCAGCTCACAACCACATTCCACACCTACTGGCAGACACGCATCACCAGCACACACTCAAGAAAAAACCCACACTTCCACCCATGACATCACACCTGCCACCACTACAAAACGCAGTGGGGACTCACCTCACCGTTCTTCAAGCATCACACTCAAACCCAACCCACATTACACTTCCAAACATTCCACCAAGCAGTCACCTACACCGCCGCCCATTGCACCACCACCTGTTCCTGTTCAACGTCGTCCACACAACCTACCTCCACCAAAATTCCAACCACCCACTGATCCTGCACAATTGGATGTCTTCCAATGGATCAACCACTACGCACAATCACTTGATGTCAAAAATGAACCCATGATTTCCTACGTGGCCAAAGTGCTCAGTGCAGCTCATCTCAACAGCACCCACTTTACGGACCTGCAACTTCTCACCCGCACAAAATGGAGCGATGACACCAACAAGGAAGAACATCATTCATTCTTACTACTCACCATCCCCACACTAGCGAGCAGGGGCGACGCCCCGGTCCTCCCTCCCACACGGCGAGAGGCTCTGAACATACCACCCATAAAGCATATTTTTGCGGCACACGTTAGTGAGGAGGGCAACATCATTTCAATACTCGAAGCGGGTGAAATCGTGCGATCCATTCTGCATGATGACAACAACGTTGGTTACTTTTGTCAGGCTTTCGAACTATCGAACCACGAGCCACATGATGTTGCTGAAGCTGCACGCGTGCTATTTAATGCCTCGAACATGGCCAAGAACCGCAGTGGTCTCATCTTGACGATCAAAGCCTACGGACACGGCCAGAAAGTAACTCATGGTGGCGAATCCGCAGCGAATGACCTGCTGCTCAAAGGAGAGGGGATTGTAAAATATACCCCAGGAAAATGCTGGGTAGCACATCCCAAACACTCAAGAATAGAAGGGATTGCTTGGAAAAGCGATGCAAAGCCACCGCTCAGCTTCATTTAATTCAACCTATCCAGCCCAAGAGGTTCTTTTTCACCCCATATCTCGGATGACGACAAGGCCTCAAAATTTCCATGCTGATTGCACTTGATTCCCATAGACATCTTTCAACTTTCAGCTTTCAACTTTACCCAAAGCTCAGATTGTTCTGATATTTCGATGCGATTCAATATGACCCATGATTTTATTCCACGACTTTTTCACCTCTTCACCTTGCACCGCAGCCATTTTGTATTATTCAAATTATTGAGCACGACCTTTTACATTCGCGTCAGCCATATTGGTCCTACGACGAGTACTACGACGATGACCTCTCCTATGGACACAGCTTTTGCACATCGACTTCTTTTAGCCCATCTTCAAGCAGCTACATCCATTGCCACTACGTTTCAGAACCTTCCATTTTTCACACCACAACCACCACCGCCTACCCACCACCAACCTATTACCACTCCAACCTCTTCCAAACGATCAAGCAGACGCACTCCACCACCGCAGCCACCACCACCTCTTCTTTCACGCAGCCGCAGCCCACCTCGCACCAACAAAAAATCTCTCTTGAGATGCAAGCCAGAACCTTCACCCTCCCACACACCCACTTCACCTCATCAGCACTCACCACATCACCACAAAGACAAAGCGACTCAATCGCGACCTCAACACAAGAACAATACAGACCTCCAACAACAACACGCGCCACCGATCACAACGATCTCTCTCAGCAGCTCGCCCACTTCACCTCCACAGCCATTACCAACTCCACCACTTCCTACACCACCACCTCCCACTTCACCAGCACCAAAACCAAAACCACCACAAATTCTCACAGACTCCCCTCCTTATCCTGACAATGGAGGATGGGAACCCAGCGAAGATGAAAAACTGGCGGCGTTCAAACTCAACAAGCGAGCTCGCCCCAGTTGGAAATACATTGCCAAAGCACTCAACAAAACGCCTTTTGATTGCAAAGGTCGATGGCAAATCTTGCGAATTCTTTACACACCTCAACAGCCAGAAAGCCCTGAAGCAGAAGCCGAAGCAGCATCGCCTCACAAAACAACCCATCAAGCTGAACCAACGACTCCAGCAACACGAGACGCCAGTACGATGACTACAGAACCCCCGGCTCCATCAGACAAACCAGACAAAGAGACATAGCTCAACGGCACATGATTGACAACAGTTCATTTTGGACATCCAGTTCGCTATGACTACTTTGTGCTGAAGAACATCCAGAATCATTGATGGCCTTGTACTTATTGTCAATTCGCATCTATTTACATATTTGCCCAGTGCCTTTCTGTCGTTTCAGCAGTTGTGAGCAATCGACTCCAACCCATGAACATTGCCATAACTCTCTTCCACACGTGCTGCCAAAAAAAAAGATCGATTGACAATGTAGCACTTTCGATTGAACAAACTTCTTTCACATCGAGTGTTGTCAAATATCAGACCATTGCCACATCGCCGATTCCTTGTACAGACCGGTCAGTTCATTGCACCCAATTTACTCTTTTCCGATGCATGTGCGAGATTTACTTCCTTTGTTGTTGATTGCTGTTATTGTTATTGTTTTTGTC